TTTGTTTGAGCGCCACGCAACTCTTGATTACTCACTCCCCCAACACTATTGTTCAGCTTACATGTTCGGACGTGTCGCGCGGAATCGACACATAGCTACAATTTGTTTTGCGTTATTTATTTCTGTGTTTGTTATATCTACGGAGACTTGAGAGACTCTATGTGGTGATNCAAGTTAAAATTAATAAAAAATTTATTAAGATTAACTATAGGGCAAGAACGATTGTCCAATATTTCTATTATTTCAATAGAATACATTATCATTAAAAATATTAATTATGATCACGTAATTAATGAATTTGCTGAAATGAAAGCCAGAAAAGTTCAATTAAAATAAATCTTATTAAAAATCTATTGTAATATATTTGTTTTATTATTTACCCAAACCAGATAAATTAAGAGGCCTAAATGCAAATTCTTTCACAGGGCACAGGAATGGCTAGTTACGGCTCTGGTCCCATCTATCGCGTAAGTTCGGGGTATTACTGTATTATTTATCTTTTCGGCCATAAAAATCTCATCTCAATTGAATTCTAAATAGTAAACGGATTGCACGGGACACTTTAAATGACACATAAAAATTGAGACAATGTACTCGTACAAAATACTCGTACGTTAGTGTACGTTGATTAATTATCAATGCAAATAACGTAACCAACACCTTATTGTTTGCTGAGGGAGTTTTATTAAAAACAAACGTTTTCGATCCACTTAACGGATCACCATCAGTCTAGTATATACGAAAATTCCGAAAGTTCCATTTATGATGTATTCCATTTTCGTATATACTAGCCTGATGATGATCCGTTAAGTGGATCGAAAACGTTCGTTTTTAATAAAACTCCCTCAGCAAACAATAAGGTGTTGATTACGTTATTTGTTTATTTTTGCTGGGTACGATTGTATTCAATAATTATCAATTCGTCAAAAAATGACGCGGGCGGAAGAACGACAAAGAAAAATGAAACTTGTTACAAACGGAAGAGTGGACGAAGGTGGATATAGGCAGAGTTCGAATGTCCAGTTACCAAGCGATTTGCTAGCCACTTTCAGGGGTGGGAAATGTGTTCGATATTTTTGCATTTATATCATTTATGATTTAATGAGTTAATAAAAATCGATATAGGGATTTGTCTGCTTTGTAGTAATCGAGTAGGTTAATTTTTCGAACACTTTTGCTTTTTTCAATAAATGATGTATAAAAGAATTACACCTAAACCACCACAAAGCTGTTAAGATCGTACGTAAATGACGTCGTAAATGCCAGAATACCGAATATCTTTTTACACTTTAAATTGGCCGGCAAATCTCCTTAGTTACAGGACCTTTGAACTTTCGCGGAAACTCTGATAAAAACTGTTGGCAGCACTAAATTATGCAAGCACGTGTTGCTGACTTAAAACGTTAACTTTCAGTTGTCAGTTATCTTCGGCAAAATATAGTTTTACATTAATTTTATAATATTCGTAAACATTCCTTCAAGGTTATATTATAGTCCACTAAAAATGAGTGGTAATAAAAAGAAAGATAATGATATACCCGTAAGTGACCCATTATACCCATAGCTATAATGAATATGCTGAGCTTACTCCGGCAAAAAAAAAATCGTGTAACCTATAATCATAAATTTCAAATGGCTTACAAATGAACAATTAAAAACTTGGGTGGAATAATGTAAATAATAATAATATTTTGTAAAAATTTGAACCATTTTATCATATATTTTCGTCGCACCTACGATTCGGACTGATTGAAATGAGCACGGAATTTTTCATTACTTATTCTGTGACGAAACTGAATTTTAGTTTTAAAAATTGAGATACCTAAATAAGGGGGCGGCGAAATTTTCCTTTGCCCCGGGCGGCTTACACCCACGCTAAGCCACTGCAAAGCAATAAAGTTACAAATTAGTTAGGAACTTCAAATCCACTTGTAAGAAATGTTGCAAAAGTAAAATTTAAATTATGTTCTCGTACTTTCATTGCTAAAAACAATATTTCTATTTCTCTGATGGAACTTATTTCAAATGCATGTCCTGATTCTAATACCCCGTTCGACCTCTCTCGACCGTTTCAATCTCGACTCAAACGAGGTTCAAGCGCGATCGACTCAGGAAAGTTCTTGAAACTAGATCCAGTCATAAGAAAGATCCCACAATCCCACNAAACTGAATTTTAGTTTTAAAAATTGAGATACCTAAATAAGGGGGCGGCGAAATTTTCCTTTGCCCCGGGCGGCTTACACCCACGCTAAGCCACTGCAAAGCAATAAAGTTACGAATTAGTTAGGAACTTCAAATCCACTTGTAAGAAATGTTGCAAAAGTAAAATTTAAATTATGTTCTCGTACTTTCATTGCTAAAAACAATATTTCTATTTCTCTGATGGAACTTATTTCAAATGCATGTCCTGATTCTAATACCCCGTTCGACCTCTCTCGACCGTTTCAATCTCGACTCAAACGAGGTTCAAGCGCGATCGACTCAGGAAAGTTCTTGAAACTAGATCCAGTCATAAGAAAGATCCCACAATCCCACGCGCGCGAGAAAATACAAGATGGCTGCGGAATATGTGTTGAGCTATCAACCAGAGAAATAAAAAAGACAACTGGAGAAACGATGACATCTGTCTATTATTAGATATATGGCAAGAAAAGTATTTATTTCTAATCAAAACTTCCATTTTGTTTGATGGTGTTCGTGACTTACCGCGTAGTTATGTCAGTTTTATCATTGCGTATAATAGCCGTGTTCTTTTCAAGCGGACTGCCTGTGCGAACAGTTCGACGTTCGACTTGCGACAGTTACAATCGAGATTGTGGGTAAATCGAGATCGAAGTGAATCTTGGATTGTGTGCGAACGTAGTATAAGAATGGCAAAGAATTGCAGTGTGGCAGAACAAAGTTTGCAGGTATTTTTTAAAATTTTATGGTTGATACATATCTTGAGAATACTATAACTGACTTCAAAAATAACTAAATGTTCAATAATAATTTATGGGTCAACAGATATTTTAATCATCAAACACCTTGTTGCGATAGCTAGGTTTTATATTAAACAATATCAGAAAACCTGTGATAACTTCTTGACTTTATTAGAAGTAGAAGATAGTAAAGCAGATGGCGTCTACTAAGTTTTTTCTTGAAAATGGTATTCCAATTGAAAATTTAATAGGTTTTTGCATCTGACAATGAAAATGTAATAATAGGAGAGAAAGCTGCCTACAAACATTACTAAAAAATACTGTATACAGTAATACTAGTTTATTTGTTCAAAGCTGATTTGTCATTCACTGAATTTATGCGCATCTGCAGCATCTAGACAATTACCAGTGTATCTGGAAGTATTAGCACGAAATATTTACTCTTACCTGTTCAGAAGTCCAAAGAGAATATCAGGAATTTCAGAAGTTAATAGTTCAACCTAACAAATTTTTATATCCCAACAATACTCGATGGTTTCATTGGAAGAGGTAATAAAAAGAATTCTAGAACAATGACTTGATATTGTATTTTACTTCTGAAGCATTAGAAAGTGGCTTGCCATTAGCATCTTCAATACTTAAAGATTAAGAACACGATAACAAAAATTTGAAGATTTTAAAATAAAATGTTTACATTTTTGTATAGTTTTAGCCAAGCAAATGCCTAAACGCTTTGCAAGTCCAAGCTTTGTTAGCAATTTACAGCTGCTTGAAGCATTAGATCCATCCAAAGAAAGGCAAGGAATTCTATAGACTATTATTCCTCCGGCAAAGAGATTCCCAAACCTCGTATCTAAAGTTGATTTTGAAGAATTAAAGAATGAAGAGAGATCACTCTAAATAAGATTGAAACTGTAAAAAATATTTAATAACTAGAAATATTTTAGCACGCAGTATCTAAAAAAGGAAATATGGCAATGAGGATTGTTTTCAACATACAGTATTTCGAAGTTCGCGAAATTACTACCACATTCCTGTGCTGCAGCAGAAAGAATATTTTCTTGCATGACGAACATTAAAACAAAAAAGAGATATAAACTCTCTACGGCAACTTTATATCGGTTATTACACACCAAAAGTCTATTGCTATGGACTGATAGCAAGAATTGCTATCAGCCCTAATATATGCTGATAGCCATCTGAGCAGCTAATTCATAGACTTTTCAATAAGAAAAACTGGCGCACTAAGAATGAGAATGATAAAAAACATTTTTAATCAGAAACGATAAGATTTTGATTTGAAACTTTTTAGCTTTAAAATTTGGTATCTCAAATTGTTTGTGGTAAGTCTGTCCTCGATCTTGACGTCAGCAGAGACCTCGGCGTCCATCACGACTGAGTTTTCATCTTTCCTCGGTTTGTAAACAAATGAGACAACAAATGAAAAAAATAAATAAATAAAATTTAATCGACTATTTAAGATTATTGTCGGTATCCCATTCTAGCTTCCCGATTTTCGTAATTCTTCCCGAAATATATAATATTTATTAAAACGAAAGAAAAATAAACGGTTCGAAAAAAATATATAAACGAGTAGCGATATCTTTTTACGAACGTAAGTACTAAGTATCGAAGAAATAAATCGTACTTTAAAATAATCAAGTTTAATTTATTAGATCGACACGAGTAATAAGTTCAAAGTGTTTTTTTTACCGACGTGCAAATTTTTCATTATAAAGACGATTTACTTTTCGAGAACTTACGTCAAAAATATTTTTACACAGAAAAATTTAATATTACAAAATTAAATTGTAAGATTAAGGTCTTTAGCTCTTGCGCAATAAAAGAATTACGCGGCCAGCGGATAAATCGAGCGGCCATTTTTGCACTCGGCAGAAAACTTTGGAGAGACTCAATCGATGCGGTAAAGCGATGGAGGTAATCCAAAAGAACGCAAAAAAAAAGAAATAAAAAAATTGCCGTTATTATTTACTGGCGAATCCGCGGTTAGGACGCGCCAAGGCGTCGACCGGTTACATATTTATTTTTTATATTTAATAATTTGCGCGAAAAAAAGTGCCGATACGCGGGGGGAACGAAGGGGCATCGACGACGACGGTCTCGACACTCCTGTCGTAATCCGTAAAGGGATACTCGTATTGTCATCCGGCGAAGTAACCGTCAGAGGTCGCCGAGGTACCAAAATGAAAAATGGCTTCTACACCTGAACAAGTTGTGTGTACTCCGACCTTTGTTTTTCCAGCAGCATTTCCCGGTAAGTTTTTTCGTCGTTTTACGCTGGAAATCGGCGGAAAACGACGAACTGCGCCTTTCTACTCGACGTAATAGAAGGTTGAGATTATTCGTGGCTTATAATTTGCCAAGTTCGCTTGTTAGGCTTAATTGTTAGGCTTCGCTTCTCTCTTCCCTCGGGATAAGATTCTTTGAATGGATTCGCGGCACATCGTTGTTTGCTTTCTTTTCGTTTATCCTTTCTTTGCATTGTATTCGTCCTAATATTTCTTTGCAGCCGTTAAACGACGCCCGGGAATAAACTCTTCGTTAATGATTATTTTTGACACGTGATTAGTGACGTATGAATTTTCGATTTTCTTATTCTTCAATTATATCGGCACTCTTTATTATTTAAAATGTAAATTTTTAAAATTAATCCGGTCGAAAAGCTCGTTAATCGTTAAGAAATCTTTAAGAGGCTTCGTTTTATAAAAATTAAAGATTATTCCAGAGACTGTTGGAAAGACAATTTTGACAGATACTTTTAACGCCAATTTCTACTTTGTCTATTTCCGTTATTCTGCGTAATTTATGCTAATAAGTGACTAAATTAGAGAATATTGAGCATTTGCCACGAGGATAGGAAAATGAATTTAAGATGTGATTACGAATTAGATTTTTTGGAGAAAATATTTATGTAAATGCAATAATAATACATGATAAATGTATTTATTATCTTTAAGCTTTGGAAATGCCTAATTGGTGTGTTGTGATTCGGGTCGTTTGGATAATCGCCATAGTGGCAATTGGGCAAATTTGGCTTGAGGCTTGGCTTCTTGTGGGTTACCGGTATTATTGTTGATTGTGCAATCGGGTCTGCCGGAGTTTGTTTCGCCCTGTCTTTCTTGGGGGAGGGAAGGAAGAGAGGATGAGGGAAACTGTGAATCCAGAATTTTGTGCATGTTTTGTGTGAGACGGACGTGTCCAAAAAGGGATTTTATTATTTTTTTTTATATTTTTGATGTTTTTTGGTCAACTGCCATGCGAACTCTTAATCTACATATTATGTATGTTTGGCAAACAGTTTGAATTTTCCTAGAGTATAAAATGTGACGTCTGTTATGTTTCCAAAATGCGCCTCGTCAGATGTGCTTCCGGCCAAAACATTTTCTTGCCGTCCACCGCTCTGATCTGGCATGCGACATGCCACGCCCGTGAGGTTAGCATAGAGGTTTGAAGGGTATTTGCATGTGTGGTAGAAGTGAGCAATGTTAGCGGCGATGCTGCTAACTAGAATAATGGTGGCTGAGTAAGGTATTTTCCAACTTAGGGTGAGGGACAAGAAAAGGATAAGTGACGAGTACTGCCATGTTGTGAATTCAAAATGGTTAATCCCAGATGAGTACTGCTTTATAATAGTCGGAGTGACTGTTGTGTGGCATGCGCCACTTTGTGTGATTATATGATGTTTTTATTGCCCAAAAGAGTTCTTATTTTGCTTTGCTATATGTTGTTTTGAGTGTAATCAACAAAAAAAAAATAAAGGTTTGTGTTATGTTTGTGTTTTAAACTTTATGTAAACATTAACATTACAAAGATGGTATTTTTCGTTGTAATGTGAGTTGTGCAAAGCAGTACCTGAAATGTTACTTACGTTATTCATACATTGCATGTGCAAAATTTGACCAAAAATGAAGAAAAACTATTTTTGATAGTAACGTCGAATTCTGTTTTTAAAAAATGTAGGTTTGACATAAAAATTTAGAGAAGATCCACATTTTCTAATTTACTTGAGAATATGTACTTACTTTTTTGATCCTCTGATGAAGGACGGTAAATGTGTGGAGTACGTTAAAAGAAAGGCATGATTGAAGTTTACAAAGGATAAACTGGTGGCAAGAATAGCTTGGGCTAAAGAGTATGTCGTCGAAAGAAGAATGGGAAATCTGTAGTATTTGCTGATGAAAAGAAATTTAATTTAGACTGTCCCAACGAATTATGGTACTGCTTGCATATTTTCTTGTAAGGAACGTGAACTATTTTCAAAATGCCAGAAAGATGGAGGATCGGTTACAGTATGGGCCGGTTTCAACTATGGCAGCAGGATTGATATTGCATTTGCACACAGTAGAATGAACCAATAGGGACTACCAAGATGTACTGGAGAAGTATTTACTTAAGTAATTCATTTTGGAAACTACAACAAGATAATGCTACACCTCACACTGCAGATTTATTTGGAAGTTTTTTGGAAAATGGAATTAAATAATTCTATGCTCAGTTTGCTCCCCAGATTACAACTTAATTGAAAATGTTTAGTACTGGAGGATCTCACTTGAATGCAGGGGAAAGGCCACTTCGTTTTCTTCTTTTTCTAGGCAGAGAATTGCTCATGATGGCTTTTCTTCTTTGGAAAAAAAACTAGTATAACAAAATTGGGTATTCTTGAACTATATTCATACGCTCAGAATTATATCAAAAGAATTAAGCGCTGAAAATGCCCATATGTTCAGTACTGTTAGCAAGAAAGTGTATGTTGTTGGGAGGCAGTATATTTTGGTTGAAGACTTGAAACAGGCAATTATTGAAAAGTTGGAAGAAATTAGTGCACTCTACCTCAAAACCTAGTTGCAACAATTCCTGAAAGAGTATTCAATGTTGTAAATAGGCATTGGAAGTTTTATTGGATATTTGTTTTAAAAAGAACTTTTCAAAATCCATTTTAATGCATTGTTTCTAAATTAAAATTTCAATTATATTTGTTTTATCTTCTTGCTTTTATTTTCTGAGAAGTGAAACATGATATTCAGATTAGTCACATTATGTTGGTCATACTTGCAAATAGTAAAATAATAAATTAGAGATCAGAAAAATGTTACTTTTTAAAATGTGGTTTGTTTTTTAAATTTTCTGTTGCACCTTAATAAAAGTCATGAAAAATGAAGCTATTCTGTGAAAAAATGAAAGAAATATGAGAAAACTTTGTATCTTGTTTATCATCCATTCTATGTGAATTTGTTTTTGTTTTTAGTCTAAGAAAGTTTCTTTTTCTTATTTTATGATAATTAATTATATGTAGTTTTATCTATAAAAACACAAGAAATAGACAACAGAGTGAAAATTTATTCATTTCTAAAAAAATAAAATAGCATTTTTTGCAGCTTGATCTGTATATGATCTATTGATTTTGAAAGTAGAGCAAGTCCAGTTTGTGGAAATAGAAGAGATTTAAAGCTAATTCTTATTACAAATTAACATAAAATTTATGTTTTTAATCAATTCACAATAAATATCTTTTAATATCAGTATAAATTTGTTACTAGTAATTTATACTGTCAATGATATTTATTGTGTGTTGATTTTGAAAGTGAGGCAAGTCCACTCTAAATAATGACATCGCAAAAAATACTGATGGAAACTATTAATTGGTTGAATATTTTCTGGATAAGATTTTCAAGAAATGCGGCTTATAAATTGTTTTATAAAACATCGATGGTAAAAGATTCACAATTTAAAACTCTTGATTTATCATCAAAACGGGGTAGGCCAATTAGTTTTGGAAAAATAGTATTATCATCATTAAATGCGAAAGCTAGGCTCATTACTAAAGAAAAATTTAAAGATATGATAGATTTATTACCCTATGTACTACCTATTCATCATGAACACTTTAAAAATCTGCATCATCTAAACTCAGAAATATATTTATATGCAAGCAACATATTACTGCATATTTTCTCCACTTTTTCCTATAAAATTAAATTAATTTTTTTGTAGCTTTTTGTAAGAAGTATGAAATGTTGAAATAAAATAAGTAAATAAATAATAATCAATTTTTTGTTGTTATAATATTCCATTCAAAGAAAATCAACATTTTCAACAAATCATTGCTTTTGAAAGCGAGGAAGTCCATTGATGCATACCAAAAACATGATTTTTTTTCAACTAACACAGATAACCATTATTACATATTAAACTTACATGAAATAAGACCACAAAAAATATAAAATAAGTCTATTACTGCTTATGAATATTTTTAAAATCATTCAAATGCAAACCATTAGATATCTAGCAATAACATAAAATGGACTTGCCCCACTTTCAAAATCAATGACTCATATAATAATACTATGCTCATTACAGGTATTGTGCTTGTATTTCATACTTTGTATTTTTTATGATCTTTTCCATGTGGGCATACATTATTTTCATTGTCTGTTGAAGGGACAGGATCATTGTCTTTATTTGTGAAATCAATTCATTTGATATATCTTTGTCATTATTAACAAAAATCCACCTGTATGATATTGTTTTAGTTATTTGTCTAAACCGTGTCTTCGATGTAACAGACTGAAGAGGGGTGGAAGCCCGAAACGCGTTTCTGCATGAATTAAAAGTAGATGATGGAATTATTTGCCAAGTGTCGATAAATGCACCAAGTTGTGACATAGAATTAGAAGAAACAAAAAAAATCCACCTCTTTGTTGGAATTTTTTATTTACTAATTGAAAAAAGTTGGTCATCAGAAATGATCATTTTTGAAAGTTTTCACTTGGGATACAGTCCTGGAAGAACTTTGAGAACACCTGGGTTTTCAAACTTTCCATTAAAATTAATTAATCTTCTGTAAATGTATTGTTGTTTAGATGTTAATCAAATAAGAAGTAAAAGCTTATTTTCATGTTTAAGGTATTCAAATACAACAAATTGCTTGCAATTTGGCTGGAAAAAGTTTGCAACCAGGATCATAAAAGAACAACATAAACAAAACATAGTGAGAAAAAAAGAGCATTTAATACTTAGTTTGTTTACCATTAACCCGAATAACATCAATTAATCAATTAGTCATGGAGTTAGAGATTTTAGTCTTTCAGGAACAATTACATCCCAAGCAGTCACAATTGCATTTTTAAGATCTGAAACATTATTAAATTATTTTTAATTGGCAAAAGCCACTCTTACTAAATTACCTTAAAGGTTATCTATGGGTTTAAATCCAGGTTACATGGTGGCTGTTGCAAAACATTGGCATTGTTGTCT